TTTATTGTTTACTTTTGTTTTTCATTATGATATATAATCAAATTACCATTCCAACATTCCAGTGGGATAACTTGATGGCGAGCTTATTGATATGACGGAGCAGTACCACATGTTTTGATTCCACACTTTGATGATTGTCTAGTTCCTTTTTATCTGTTGTAAATGATCATATGGCACACACGTGTATAAACGTATATCAATAAAATTACTGCAAACAACAACGGTATTCTTTCCTTTTTTCAGAAAATATCCAACCTGCTTCCATTTCAGATTGACCAAGATTTAAATGGCAGGTGCCGTCGATTAAGGAGAAGATGCTTGCTCTTCTGGAACATTTGGTCTCAGTTTCTTCGTGGAATATTGGACTATAAGGTAAAATGAAAAGCGGCTTATTGATTTGTGAAGACACCGATAAAAACATGATGTAATATTTCTACTTCATCTCTCTCAGACTTTGTCATAGATTCTTAAAAATATTTGCTTTGTTTTGAATGCTCTCCGTATTGATTTATTCTTTCCAAATAATTATTTCGTTCAAATTTATAAAACTTCTTAAAATCAAATAGTTAAATCTTCACTAATTTAAGATACAAACGAGGTTTGTAAGTTTCATTATTATCAGCTGTGTTTCAGTATTGGGTATTACTCGATGTTAAAAAAGTTTGTCTATCATGTTGGAGAAGATATTCACTCTAAAACAAATAGCGCTCATCGGAATAGAATGCGTCACTAAAGGATTACATCACTAGGAATAAAGAACACAAGCACATGTACAACGTATTACCACATGTTTGTAAAATTTTGTAATCCGCCTTACCGTCTATTCCTCTACATATTTTATCTTATCACTTGCAAGGTGTCTGTTCCCTTCTTTCAGAAATTGTTGTATATTTTGTTCTTATTTGAGAACGTGACATTAATTACTTGGACTTACCAAGATGTCTGACTGGTGTCGTCATAAAACAGAAGACGCTTATTCTTCCGAAACATTTGGTCTTTTTCTCCTTGTACTTTGTCAGGAGTCTGCGTGTAAATCTGTCTTTTGTTCATATTTTGCCCTCGTTTATTTACTTTCCAATGTAACTTACGGGTTTTACTGTCCTTTGTTAGTAACTTATGTTATTTGCTGTCCTATGTTAGGAACTTACGTTATATACTGTCCTATGTGAGTAACTCACGTTATTTACTGTCCTATGTGAGTAACTCACGTTATATACTGTCCTATGTGAGTAACTTACGTTATATACTGTCCTATGTTAGTAACTTACGTTGTATACTGTCATATGTGAGTAACTTACGTTATATACTGTCCTATGTTAGTAACTTCCGTTATTTACTGTCCTATGTTAGTTACTTTCGTTATTTAATGTCCCAGGCTATGGAAAGTTTCGCTTTTACAATATTTTCTATTCATGTTTCTGAAGAGATAAAACAGGCAGCAATGAATGGTCTTTGTGTTGGATTCTTCTCGGGTTTCATGGAACCTCTCTCCTTGGTGCTGATCGCCACACGATCCACCTTTTCCGTCCTGCTTATTTCATTGATTCTTTAGTTATGAATTTATTTCACATAATACATATATTATTGAAGACTGCTCGGCGAAATGTATCTCGATATGCCTTAAGTGGTCTTAACCTTACCGTTACCTATATTTTTTCTTATTTATTTATCTATTTGTTTTCTTTTTATTTATTGGACTTGTCTCAATGCTGACAACACAAAATGGGTTTTGGGATTTCTATTTTTAATATATATTCTATCAAGAAATTAGTTAATGTGAATAGGTATGTGAGCCTTGCATGACATCCAAGCAAACAGGAACCATTTTGTTTAACAACAACAAAGAAAATATCGCCACATCAACAGACTTTTTATTCAAACTCAAATTTGATGAAACCGGGGCAAAATGTGAACAAAAAAAAGGCTTACATTGAGATTCCTAAACGTGTTTACAACTGATATCCATCCTGTCTCACTAAACAAGATCACTATATAATACCACGTACATTCATAGCCAGCATTGAAGGTAAAATAGTTATGTCAACACAAGATTGTACAAAAAATAACTAAAAAGTAAACGCCAACATTGAATAAAAATTTTAATTGATTGTATGGACAAATAACATATTCAACTGCATCATACAGCTGCCTCGTCTTCCTTGGACACGTCAGTGATGCTAAAGCACAGTAGGGCCAAATAACATATTCAACTGCATCATACAGCTGCCTCGTCTTCCTTGGACACGTCAGTGATGCTAAAGTACAGTAGGGCCAAATAACATATTCAACTGCATCATACAGCTGCCTCGTCTTCCTTGGACACGTCAGTGATGCTAAAGCACAGGAGGCCAAATAATGAATGAAACTGCATCATGCAGCTGCCTCGTCTTCCTTGGACACGTCAGTGATGCTAAGGGCTAATTGTTGAAACCTCGAAAGCATTTACGTTAAGTCGAAATTCTTCGAAATGATATCAAAGATAGAGGAGTAGGCAAACTCTAACCCCAAAGCAATAACTTTTAAAAAATCAATATTTAAAGAGGATTTTAAAATGTTAAATGCATGTGTATATTCTGAACCGTGCCATTGTTAAAATAGATAGATGAGGGATCGTTATTTTGATGACCTCTGCCATCTACTATCAAAAAATGGCAACTGCAACGCACACCAACTTGACCTTCATGGCTTATCCCGTTATGAAAACTATTTTTTTATAAAACGTTATCGACAAAAATCTGCATATAGGGTGTAATTCATCTAACTGATATTATTACAAACGAACATATATCACACAATGTCTGCTTACACAAAAGATGTGATATACAGCTGATACTATAGTATAATTTAGGACTTGTATTATTTATGATTATTTACACAATTATTGATCAAAGACTGTATCACAAATGTCTCATATGACAAGAACGTTATTGATGATTTCACCGAAGAAATATTATATGTCATGAACATTTCGAGTAAGTGTTTAACAGTTTATAATATAGTAAAGATGACTTTAGTACAATCAAACATGACATTTTCTTTAAACACTAGCCAAACGGTTATTCCAAGTTACGGTTGATTAAAGGTTTTCAGCATCATGATATTTGATATGTAGACAGCTGACAAGCTTACAACGAAGGGTTCGAGAGAAACAGACTAATGAAAATGACGGAAAAAATTTAATATGAGCTAATTGAGAAATAATCAAAACGTTTCAATGTTTCTAATGATTTCTTTTGAATTAGCTTTACCCTAAGGATGACTACTTACAACTGCTTACATACATTGTATATTCAAGTAAACGATTAAAAACTAAGAAAATACTAACCTGTCAACACCATCATAATCCAAACTCAAATTCAATAAACCAATGCCAAAAGATGAACAAAAGAAAGATTTACACATTCCTGCAATCCTATAAGGAAAATAAGACCAGGCGTTCCGGAAGTGTAAGTGTCTTCATTGACGACACCCGCCATGTAAATCCAGGTAAATAGTGTCATGTTCTCTAATGAGTACAAGGTAAACAATAAATGAGCCAACAGGCCAACGAATGAGCATTAAACACGTCCAGTTTTATATCGCACAAAGTAAAAGCAATGCTGAATATTTCAATGTACACAACAAAACTCATTCATCACGATTTGATTTCATCATTGACATCATTACTATAACAAGACATGTTGTTTACAGTCAAACTTGCTAATAGAAATACTGATACATTAATCTATTTTCAAAAGTGGTGTATTTTAATATTAATGAGATTTGTCTGAATTTACTGCTCATTCATATCGATTGTAGAGAAAGGATATCTATGTTACCGCCGTAAGAACTCCTCTGGAAATGGCAAAATATATAATCATTATTACAAAGGACGTATCAAATTCCCTTTCTTTCAACAATAGGTGGATGTTTTAAACTCCTTAGGTATCAATTTATTATTACAACTATTGTACAAACAAACATATCACATGTGGAAGAAAACTATGAGAACGTTTTGTTTGGGTGTTACGATGAACTTTGACCTGATGGCGCGTCACAACCCGCAGAAATTTTAAGTAATTTGCGATTTCTTTGTAATAATATGCCTTTATATATATATAGCTGTATATATGGCGGCATATCACCAGAGATAATATCGTTACTCCATAACTGATATCGTGAACAAAACACAGAATCAGAATAAATTGTTTTCTGAATAGCGTTTTTATTGGAACATATCACACAAACTGGTGGCTGTTGTATATGGTATGTGTTTCTGTTTATTTAGTTCTCTTTCGAAAGTTACAAAACCTTTCACTGAAGCTCGTGTTTGTAACTAGATGTATATTGCGAGCGCCTCCCATGTTGTGATCTTCGGAAACCCAACGCGACTCTGCTGGGTCTCAACGACAGGGAAGAGTCACGTTGTTTCGATGTTCTGTTGTATAAGACGTATATCCATCCGAATCACCTGGTCCTAGTATCCATGTCTCAGTGACTTTCGTGTCTTGCCTGCCTTTCTTCGATGTTAAGTTTGACGTTTGTTGACTTGTTTGTATGTTGTGTTGTTTTCCAGTTTTAAAATGATAAACAGTTGGTAATGATTATGGCACGTTTGCATTTATTCACAAATAGTTGCACAACAAACCATTGAATATTGTAGAAACATATCTCAAAATATTTCAAAAAATCATATTAATTTTTGTTATCATTGAACTTACAATTTAGAGAATACTCTTTTTTCCAATATACGAATGAATTCTACTCCAGCGACATTGTGTATGCCTCAGACGCAAATGGAAAATAGAATAACCATTTGTGCATTAAAATACTTTTTTTATTTTAGACATCCATTTCGATTGATTCTTCATAACTTGAGACATTGTAGTTATATAAACAATTATAAACTTGATTTATTTTACAACAATTGCGAAACAAGTTATTTCAAATTATACTAGCAGTTATATATGGTATATAGCTGTATATTAAGATATTTGGTCACTTAACAAGGGCAAAGTGTTTTAGTCAAAATATGAAGTGGTGGGTAGAGCCGTAGTTGTAGTTGTTGGTGTCGTGGTGGTTGTAGTTGTTGGTTTCGTAGTGGTTGTAGTTGTTGGTGTCGTAGTGGTGGTACTTGCAGTTGTTGGAGTGGTAATAGGAACAGTGATACACTTGCACATATGCCTTGGGCAAAATGTTGGGATATGATTACAGTTTAAATCACACCATCCGTCGTCGACGCTGTCATAAATTGATACACATCTACGAGCTTTAGTGTTCAAAGGGGCGGTAGACGTGGGGGAGGTAGTAGAAGTGGTGGAAGTGGAGGTAGTTGGGTTAGTAGTGGTGGTAAAAGAGGTGGTAGTCTTAGGTGAGGTGGCAGAAGTAGGTGTAGTGGTAGGTTCAGGTGTAGTAGGCGTATCAGAGGTAGCAGACGTAGGTGTAGTGGTTGGGGTGGTAGTGGTAGGGGAGGGATCAGTAGTTGAAGACGTCCCAATACACTGACACATATACGCTGGACAATGGGTTGGATGGTGTCTGCAGTTTCGTTCACACCAGATGGTGGAAACGCCTGGAAAAATAGACACACATTCTGCAAGTGAGCTGCGATTAGAGGCAGGATGATTGGGAGCTTGGGAACCAATAAGAACAGGTGCGATGCCATCTCCATCCTTTTTTGTCCTTGCCGGTATATCATTGTCCGTGATCGCAATATCTGAACAAGCGTAAAATTCCTGTTGTTCGCAGGTTTCACAGTTTTCGTCGGCGCTCCCTATAACAGAAAGACGGCAATTTAGGAATTAATAGATATATTGTCGTAAAAAGCAACACATTCAATCAGGTTCCTTTCATTGTAAACATATTTTGTCTTCATCAAGAAAATAACTGATCTTAATGCTTTCTAAGTAAAAATCGTTAAAAAAAACCGCTATACCTCGCGCTGTTAATATATCACAGGACACATGGGAATGATTTAATAAAGAATAACAGAAAAGTATGATGAAACTACCTGTGCGATACCGCCATTGTAGGACACATTGAGAACACGTGACATCCGACGGAAGCTTGGCTGATACATCAATATACTGTACAGGCGCTGAAACAGGGTACCTCGTCTCTCCGGTCTCCGGATTTACCAATAAATGCTTCAAACAGTCTCTTGTTATTCTTTTCGTCACATCATTATTTTCACAAAGACGGAATTCAAAGAAACCTTCGCTGTTGGATAACTTTTGTATTTTGATTGAAATGACCGCTCCCTTCTTATAATTCTTTGAGATAATCCCCGTGGCGAATTTTCCACCAGCCTCGTTTTCTTTTGGATCTTGATCCCTTGGGTCACCACATAGGCCGCAGTTTCCACTCCAAAAGTTTAAAGGTTGCTAAAATATGAGAATCACACAACCTTTAACAAGCATTCTTTCTATCCTAAGTGGAATCAGTACATTACTGTTAGATGTATAAAACAAATCAATCGATAATATCGATTTCAACCTAAAACCATACAAACATTTAACAAAAATATTTTGGAACATTTTGCCGGTTGGTAAGGTCAGAAGATGTTCTTATAACACAACCAGCAGAAGATAAGAGTGTGAAGTTTCGACGACTACGATACTTCTATTCTATTAAACAAAGTATATTTACAATCATGATGAAGTTAGGAATTATACAATGGAGAAAGTACAGTTAGATAAAAGAAAAAGGATCTATGTAAATCAATATAAGCCGTTTTTCTCGGGTTATACACATTGTGTAAAAGAAAGAACCAGTTCTTAAAGTAATCAGTGTGTTAAAATAAGTAAGATATGTATCAAATTTAGAATCACGTAAAATATTGACATATCTGATCAACAAGTACACGTTACGTTATTTCGCCATTACGGCACCTAAGGTAATATATGCCTAGTGAACGGGTTCGTTCCAGTCACAAATACTATAATGACAAAATTACCTTTCTGTTCCCACAGTTGAGACGATTGTCATGGAAGTTAATAGGAGTAGCAAAACCAAGCCTCCACATGCTGCTTCTTCCAGGAGGGTCAACCATTTGGCCCTGCCCATTCACTACAGTGGAGAATATATTTATCCACAACAGTAAACAAGCCAACGGAGATCGGAGTGACACCATGTTTACCGGGTCAGCAGTTCTATATTTGAAAAAAAAGGGGAAATATTTCAATTTTCACCAATAATCGATCATAAGCAAAATGTTTATAGCGTGTCTGCATTTCCAGTTAAACAAACTTCCATGAATACCTGACGAATGATAAAAGGAGTGAAAAATAAAAAAAAAATTAATTTCTGATGAAAAAGTCTGATATGCAAAAACAAGAACTGTTAAAACACTATGCAGAGCGTTAAAAATATGGTTTCCTCCATATATCCGTGAGATGTGGCGACAATGGACTGAATAACATTATGACTTCATCTCAAATAAATTACGTTGACCACTTAAATTTGAGAGTTGTAAAAACATAATTAGGGATCTACCTATACCGTAATTTGAACAAAGATTTTCAAGAGATTGTGTTTTGACAAACGTGTACAGTTTAACCCGCTACTTCGTTATCCATCCTTTCTAACAAAATACTTCTGTTTTTGTGATCTTAATTTGTTATAAATATACCAAAGATGCCACAACTCTGCTGCCATAAGACGGTGACTTTTTGTCTTTTTAAATTAAATATTCCTGGTCATTTTTTTTTTTCCATTTATTTGTATTTCTGATAACAATATTAAAAGAGTATTTGTGTTTTGAATGAGCAAACTGTTATAAGCGTTTTGTAAAATATATCTACTTCAAAGAAGGAAAGAAAATCCGGGGACATATTTCATTTTCAATTTCATTTTATAATCAAAATCAGAATATTTGCAAAACCGATTGCCACCAGAATGAAAAAAAACCAATATTTCGGCCGCGGTATTTAAATGTAATTCAGGTGTTTCATATCTTAGATGGAAGATACAAGCCAGTTTTAAGTTTTATATGAAAATCATAAATTTCCATTGTTGAATGTTTTATGCACACTATTTTTATGATATCTACTTGAACTTATTTTAACAGTCCGAGAGGACGTATGAATTTGTATATTCACAGGAGAGAAATGAAATTAATTCTCAAAAAAATTTAAAACAACATAATATAGAGCTCTCATGTAATAACCTCTTCCCATGTAAAACATAGATTAGTTTTATATATTACACACTTTTTGTATTTAGTGCATTTTACTCATAGGAATGTTAAAGTCAAGGGTCTGAAAAATAATAAAGTGCGTTAAGAAAAATATATAGTACTTACCTTAAGGTTTGAGAGAAAGGACTGACTTTTTCCGAAATGTGTCCTTTATTTACATACACTGTACCTTTAGCTTGCAGCAAAAGACGTTATTATTAGTAGCTTGTGGTTATATCTGTTAATCAATTAAGCATCACGACGTCAGTGACGCCTACGAAGTACTCGACTACAATTGATTGGCCTTAATTGACATTTCTTTTACATGGAAACGACTAAGTGATAAGTTAAAATTAGATCCATTTGCAATAGAATAGATATAAGTTAGATAAATATATGAAGATAAATTTAAACTACAATACAATTTGTAATTATAAGTGGGAGAGTTTTCATATCTCCTTGAGGGTTTGACGTCATCAGCCTCATGACATTGTGTTCAGAACTGACGAGGTCATTGATTACACACTGTAGGCTCCCATTTAAAAACTTGTAAAAAGTACCATAGAGAAGATCAACTCTCAACAAGACGATTTTCGAAAATGAACGAATCAATTAGAAAGTGCAGATAACTCTGTCAATTTGATCTCATTTAGATCTCTACTGCAAATCCAACTTCGGAACGATTTCCAGTACAGAGCTACTTCATATATTGATGCCCTCTATATCAAATCGGATTAAAGACAATTAAAAATCATTATGAGGAACAGTAGTTCTCATCATTATTGTTTTCTTTTAATAGCGTGGACTTAGAGTCCAGTCTCTTTAAACTGTCAACAGGATGTATTATCTTTTCAGTTTTTATATATTTACATGCCGGCTTACACAACGATGTGTGTCGTAAGTACTATGATACATGGGGACAGCTGACAAAGAGGATTTAAATACAACTTCTCGAGGATTAATAAATTTAATGATGGTTCCTCTGTGGATTAAATGTCCTATTTATTTGTGTATGAAACACGAGTTCTCATTTGACAATTCCTTTGTAGGATTGACCAAGATTAACACAAATTGCCCCTAAATGCGTTCCATCTACCACGCCAGAGCCAATGGCAGAGCTAATGGAACTCACTTGCCACTTGCGATGGAGACCTGATAATACCAGTTAGTAGAATACCATAGAATCCGGCTTGTTATTCCGAGGAAGATTACGCTGTGTTAATTTGGACACGATCACGTAAGAATTCATAGTCGTAAAGGTGTTTATAATTTTGTTCAGATAGGATGTGCTCTAATCATACGATGTTACACGCATTAAGAACGTGTAGCTTGTTTCTTTTCACACAACAAAGGAAATGTCTATCTATACAAAGTCAACCAATTGCAAAGAGTCGCCTTTAAGTCACCTGTTTTGTTTGGTTTTAAAATAAAATACTTTATGAAATTTGCTGTAGTGAATAAAAATTAGATAAGCGATTTGAGATTTTCACACAATGTGTTTAGAGATTGAAATTGTATTCAATCAAGTTTTTGTAACTTCTATCGAATCACTGAGGTCAAAATCATGGAAGAAAAATATGATAATTTGTGTAATAGTATTTCTGAAATTAATAAATAACTATAAGAAGGCAAATGTTGAAAACATAAACTGAAACGATATATATCTCTCAGGATAAGATTTACTTGTTTGATATCAGTTTAAAGAGTTATCTCCTCTTATGAACTCTCAGTATTTCCAACATCGGCTTTATGTCTTTCTTGCGTCTTTCACACTGCATGATAGTCTAGAAAATCTCTTCGGATTCGATTTCACAGTACATGACCATAAGGTGGCTAGTCATTTCCTCTGGACAAGGTATTGCCGGCCATTTCCTCTGGACAACATATTGCCGGTCATTTCCTCTGGACAACATATTGCCGGTCATTTCCTCTGGACAACATATTGCCGGTCATTTCCTCTGGACAACATGTTGTCGGTCATTTCCTCTGGACAACATATTGCCAGTCATTTCCTCTGGACAACATATTGCCGGTCATTTCCTCTGGACAACATAATGCTGCCCATTTCCTCTGGACAACATATTGCCGGTCATTTCCTCTGGACAATATGTTGTCGGTCATTTTCTCTGGACAACATAATGCTGCCCATTTTCTCTGGACAACATATTGCCGGTCATTTCCTCTGGACAACATAATGCTGCCCATTTCCTCTGGACAACATATTGCCGGTCATTTCCTCTGGACAACATAATGCTGCCCATTTCCTCTGAACAACATATTGCCGGTCATTTCCTCTGGACAACATAATGCTGCCCATTTCCTCTGGACAACATATTGCCGGTCATTTCCTCTGGACAACATATTGCCGGTCATTTCCTCTGGACAACATATTGCCGGTCATTTCCTTTGGACAACATAATGCTGCCCATTTCCTCTGGACAACATATTGCCGGTCATTTCCTCTGGACAACCTATTGCCGGTCATTTCCTCTGGACAACATATTGCCGGTCATTTCCTCTGGACAACATATTGCCGGTCATTTCCTCTGGACAACATAATGCTGCCCATTTCCTCTGGACAACCTATTGCCGGTCATTTCCTCTGGACAACCTATTGCCGGTCAGTTCCTCTGGACAACATATTGCCGGTCATTTCCTCTGGACAACCTATTGCCGGTCATTTCCTCTGGACAACATATTGCCGGTCATTTCCTCTGGACAACATAATGCTGCCCATTTCCTCTGGACAACATATTGCCGGTCATTTCCTCTGGACAACATATTGCCGGTCATTTCCTCTAAACTTTATGGATTTTCATATTAAGTATTACTCCCAGAAGGTTACTCAAAATCAAACAAAATAAAAATTAAAAATAAACGAATAATATGCAATATGTCCAGGTTTTTTGTTTGTTTGTTTGTTTGTTTGTCTTTTGTTTCAAACATTAAGCTTGACTAAATATCATTGGCATCATGTGTTATAATATCATAATCTGACATCAGAAATTGTACCGAAAATGTATCGCTGAACTGTGTATACTATGGAATTAGCGAGATATTATTTTTTAAGAAAAATACATTTTTGAAAACAAACCGTCTAAGAATCGAAAATAAACAATTCAGTAAAGTAGACTTGTTTGATGCTCGTTAGTTTGCTTGTTGGTTCCGCTGTTCTTTATCTCGTTCTCATTTGGAAACGTGATAATAATTAGTTGGATTGACCAGGATTTATATGTCGAATGTCGTCGATAAAGCAGAAGACGCTTAATCCTCCGGAACGCCTGGTCCTACTCCCCTTGTACTTTTTTCATGAGTCTCCGTGTAGATCTTTCTTTTGTTCATAGTTTGCTTAAGTTTGTTTAATTTGAGTTTTAATTATGGTTCTAACCATTTGTTGGTATGTTCTTGTTTAATAAGTATTTTTATCTGGAATATTTTTGGAAAATATTATGCATCTCACAGGATAAAAAATAAAAAAACACTTTTTTGTAAGACATGCAATCGGACGAATAACAAGAGTTACATATAGAACGAATAGATAATTTAACCCCGTACTTAATGAACAGTACATATTACAACCCATCTCTGTATATATAGATTCAAGCGTTAGTAGTTTATGTATGTAATTCCGAGGTATTTTGTACTAGTTAAACAAATATTTGTCATGATACTATAAGGATGCCCGCAGAGCATGAAGTTAGTCGAAGTCGACTAAAAAGGATGTTTGTTCATGAATTGATTTTGTTCCGGATTACAGCATACCGATTTTTCAAACTGCTCATTTTATTATCTAAAAGCTTTATTTTGTTCTCATTTGGAAAGGTGACAGTTGGATGTACCAAAGTTAATATGGCAGGTGTCGTCGATGAAGCTGAAGACGCTTATTCTCCTGAAGACGATTTACATGGCAATGAAAATATATTACAGGTAAGAAACGGGAGAAATGATTTTATGCTGATAATGCTGGATAAACTTTTTTAACGTTTCATTATTTACATGACAGACTATCTATTTGTCCATCCTGTATCTAATCTCAATGAACCTTTAAATACAAATTTAGAGTTGGATATGGCATCATACAGCTGTTTCGTCCTTCTATGACTCGTCAGTGATGCTACATCATACAGCTTTATCATTCTTCTAGGACCCGTCAGTGATTCTACAGCATAGAGATGTTTCGTCCTTCTCGGAATAGATGCTAAGGAGAGGAGGAGATTGAGGAGACCCCAAGGTAACCGAAAGAAAAGTCAAAACCTAGAATAGGAGGTGCACTAGCCTCATGATTCAATAAATGTTGTAATCTCCATATTTATGATAGTTTTATCATAAAGTCAGGTAAATGTGAGTTTTTTTGGAAGGGTGGTATGAAAAAATATTATCACACATAACTGTATAATCACATTTTTAATTGTTCTGTTCTCTTTGAATTTGTTTTATTTGTGTGCTATACACATTGAAATCAGTTGGCCTCATCGCCAGGTCAGGTGAGTAAAGTGAAGGTTTAAGTCGATGTTTCTTGTTGATAGAATATTATTGACAGCAATTTTTTCTTTAAACTTACTCTGAAATTTTCATCATTCATTATAAGAGAAAATAAACTTTCCCATTGACTCTCCTATTGTTTTGTTTTTTTGTTTTTTTTAACACTCAGAAAATAGCAAATCAGCAGGTCTCACATAGTTACATAGCGACTCAGTTTATTTATTGTTTTCTTTATGCCTTCCTTTGTAAACAGAAGTGCGGGAAACGTTTCATCACAACTTGCACACGTAAGAATTAGATCGCCTTTTTGTCAGATATCAACAAGTTGAGTTTAGGCACACGCGATCTTGTTATATCAGATCCTAGGGTGACATTTCAAACAGTCCTCTTAGGGATCACAAAATAATAGACATTGTCTTCATCCAACCGGATAATTTACAAGGAGAAAATCAAGTTATTATTGTACAGTGAATACATATTTCTTGAAATATAACAAGATGATTTGATTTTCGCTATCCGTCGTCTTTTTCAACAGCTTGACGCAAATAAAGTTGAGGTATTAACAAAGTCATGGAAATTCAAAACTAATATTTGTTAAGAGCATCGAGCAAAATGTTTTTAATCTTAGTCACTAGTATACCATCGCAAGTTTAAACAATTCTTCTCCTAAAACAGATTAGGAGAATGGAACCCGGTGATAAAGGCATGTTGTACCAGAGAACTTCCTAATCAACCGTGACGATTCTGTGCCATACGTATAAAGACTTTTACTGTAACTTTTCACATTGTTCTTGTTACTTGTGATTCTTCAATATTAAACGTGTCTAGAAAAGACGATCTATATATTGTGTGATCCCTCAAGGATTATTCATTTGTGTGTCTTCAGTGCCATTTTCATGATTGTGGAAGTACAGTTCAGATATACTTAACTTGATGTCACATGATTGTGGAAGTACAGGTCAGATATACTTAACTTGATGTCACATGATGTCAGATGATTGTGGAAGTACAGGTCAGATATACTTTACTTGATGTCACATAATTGTGGAAGTACAGGTCAGATATACTTTACTTGATGTCACATGATTGTGGAAGTACAGGTCAGATATACTTAACTTGATGTCACATGATTGTGGAAGTACAGGTCAGATATACTTTACTTGATGTCACATGATTGTGGAAGTACAGGTCAGATATACTTAACTTGGTGGCACATGATTGTGTAAGTACAGGTCAGATATACTTAACTTGATGTCACCTAATTGTGTAAGTACAGGTCAGATATACTTAACTTGATGTCAGATGATGTGGAAGTACAGGGCAGATATAGTTAACTTGATGTCAGATAATTGTGTAAGTACAGGTCAGATATACTTAACTTGGTGTCACATGATGTGGAAGTACAGGGCAGATATAGTTAACTTGATGTCAGATAATTGTGGAAGTACAGGTCAAATATACTTTACTTGGTGTCAGATAATTGTGGAAGTACATGTCAGATATACTTAACTTGATGTCAGATGATTGTGTAAGTACAGGTTAGATGTACTTAACTTGATGTCAGATGATTAGGGAAGTACAGGTCAGATATACTTAACTTGTAGTTAAATAATCGTGGTTTTACAGATGAGAAACGATTTACATGTATTTAGATCACTTTGGTGGTTTGTATTAGGCACTTCGAACTTTTTTTTATACCTTGTGCCCAAAGAGTATCGGTATATTCTCGAATTATACCATTGAACTACACGCTGTATAATATCATATATATGATATTTCATAATCTTATGTTTGTCTACGTTTAGGCCATTTTGAACTGAGTATCAAGCAACAACATATGAAATAACACATGATCACAAATGCATCTGTTTTCCTGTTTAGTCACATTTTGCCATGGAATATAACGTCGCTCGACTCAGTTATGTCACTAGAGGAATCAGTTTAAACGCCTCCGAGATATCGTCTATCATGTTTATTTTCTTTTCAGTTCTACAACTGAAGAATTGTATTATTTGCAGGATAGGTTGTAGTTGTAGGAGTAGAAGTGGTAGTCGTCGGAGTTGTAGTGGTAGTTTAAGAATTTAAGTTGAAGTCTTTGAAGAGATAGAGGTAGTTGATGGAGTCTGCAATGTAACACATGAAGAATTCAGTTAATTCACTACAGGAATTCTGCAAGCATGCCGATTTTCTATTTCTTTTCGGTTCTACGGCGGAGTGGTACTTGCAGGAGTTGTAGTTGTAGGAGTAGTAGTGGTAGTAGAAGGAGTGGTAGTAGTGGTAGTTGTAGGTGTTGTAGTGGTAGTTGAAGGGGTAGTAGTGGTAGTTGAAGGAGTCGAAGTAGTATCAGATGTAGGAGTTGAAGTAGTTACAGATGTAGGAGTTGAAGTAGTTACAGATGTAGGAGTTGAAGTAGTAACAGATGTAGGAGTTGAAGTAGTAACAGATGTAGGAGTTGAAGTAGTAACAGATGTAGGAGTTGAAGTAGTTACAGATGTAGGAGTTGAAGTAGTTACAGATGTAGGAGTTGAAGTAGTATCAGATGTAGGAGTTGAAGTAGTTACAGATGTAGGAGTTGAAGTAGTTACAGATGTAGGAGTTGAAGTAGTTACAGATGTAGGAGTTGAAGTAGTAACAGATGTAGGAGTTGAAGTAGTTACAGATGTAGGAGTTGAAGTAGTTACAGATGTAGGAGTTGGAGTTGAAGTAGTTACAGATGTAGGAGTTGAAGTAGTAACAGATGTAGGAGTTGAAGTAGTTACAGATGTAGGAGTTGAAGTAGCATCAGATGTAGGAGTTGAAGTAGTAACAGATGTAGGAGTTGAAGTAGTTACAGATGTAGGAGTTGAAGTAGTTACAGATGTAGGAGTTGAAGTAGTAACAGATGTAGGAGTTGAAGTAGTTACAGATGTAGGAGTTGAAGTAGTTACAGATGTAGGAGTTGGAGTTGAAGTAGTTACAGATGTAGGAGTTGAAGTAGTAACAGATGTAGGAGTTGAAGTAGTTACAGATGTAGGAGTTGAAGTAGTATCAGATGTAGGAGTTGAAGTAGTAACAGATGTAGGAGTTGAAGTAGTAATAGATGTAGGAGTAGTAGTGGTAGTTGAAGAAGTAGTGCTAGAAGGAGTAGTAAAATTACATTTACACAAGGACGTTGGGCAGTTTGATGGAAAATGGTTACAGTTTAATTCACACCAGGAATTCTTCACGCTTGCAGAAAGAGATACACAACTGCTAATGGTAAGGATAGGTGTTGTAGTGGCAGATGTAGAGCTCGTACCTTTACATTTACACAAGTTAGATGGACAGTATGGAGGAGAACGATAGCAGTTGCGTTCACACCAGAAATCATTTACGGCAATTGAAATAGATTTACATCTACCGACATTATGAGGAGGAGTGGTGTATGTTGGAGAGTCCCTACATTTACACATATCAATCGGGCAATGTGGTGGTTGGTGATTACAGTTCTGGACACACCAAATATCGCCGGAGGGGTGTTTTCGGGAAACCGACCAACAAGTTCTAGGATAGTTTCTGTAGACTTCAGGATGCATCGACGTATTTGAACTAAAAGGAAAAGAAGATATGTCTCCTCCATTCTGTATTGTTCTGGTCGGTATATCAGTGTCCATTATCGCAATATCGGAGCAGGCATAAAATTCCTCTTGATCATCGCTTGTTTCACATTCGCGTTCTTTGGGTTGAACTGTATTTCCTAAAACACCAAGCAAACTTTATAGAGAGATACAAAACGAAAAGAGGCGTTAGCAAAACATATAACCTTGCTTATTGCAATATGCACTATTTTTAACATAACAAGTTCTACCTTGTTTCCATATGTCACATTAACTTACATTCCAAGCATAGTGATGCAGTCGTATTATGATATCTTATTGTCTCGAAAGTGCCTTGAAGAACATATTTTCTTGAAAATAATAATCCATATATGAAAATATCTCTGATATCAAACCTTATAATTTTCAATTTTATACAACCTTAGCCCAACAGACAATCTGATTTACCTGTACGATATCGCCAATGTAAGATGCATTGCGAACACGTGACATCCGAAGGAAGCTTGGCTGATACATCAATATACTGTACAGGCGCTGAAACAGGGTACCTCGTCTCTCCGGTCTCCGGATTTACCAATAAATGCTTCAAACAGTCTCTTGTTATTCTTTTCGTCACATCATTATTTTCACAAAGACGGAATTCAAAGAAACCTTCGCTGTTGGATAACTTTTGTATTTTGATTGAAATGACCGCTCCCTTCTTATAGTACTTTGAGATGATTCCCGTGGCAAATTTTCCACCAGCCTCGTTTTCTTTTGGATCTTGATCCCTTGGATCACCACATAGGCCGCAGTTTCCATTGAATAATGTTAGAGGTTGCTAAAACATTTCAACGTTGAAAACATCTTAAGACCAAATATATTTGCAATTAAAAGTTACAATATCAAATGTTATTTCAATAATTGTAATTATGACAAAATTGAATATGATATAGCGTTAGAATTTAAGGTAACAAACTGTTTTCTTAGTAGTGTATAAATATAATTTAGTCTTGGCTTGACTACAATAGCGTTATCAGGTCACAACAGATTAAAAGAAATTCTTGTTTGGTGGCAACCGCAACCCTTGAAATATTGTTATTGGTTGTGTTGTTACTATCAAACATACATTAGATTCTCCATACTTAATAGACACAATTATGTTTCATGGAACAAACTCCATCTCAAATCACAGCCAACAATATACGATACTTTTCTGTTTCCACAGTTGAGACGGTTGTCGTGGAAGTTAGCAGGAGTATCATAGCCAAACCTCCACATGCTGCTTCTCCCAGGAGGGTCCACCATTCTACCCTGTCCACGTACAACCACGGTGAAAATATTTCCCCATACAAGGACATTCGAGACCACTTTAAGTAACAGCATGTTCAACATTTCAATAGTTTTAGTCTGAAATCAAAAGCGAGATAATATTTCGATTACAAATGAAGTTTTTTCAGTTCTTTTAACCGTCGAGTCTTAAGTAATGTGTTTGGCCTGGAATTTTGATGTTTGATGTGCTTGTACCTGTTTTACGAAGGTCAAACATTAAAACTAACGATCTAGAGGCAGACAAGATGCATGTCCTTCAGGAATTATCTTAAATATAGAAAACTAACAAATTAATGTGTGGGATAAGTGTACCTCATCAGCCAATTGTTGACATTTATCATATCCAATTTTTGCATTATCCCCTTAGGTTTTAAATGTTTCAACCTCTAGCATAACTAGCGAGTCATAGAAGCCATAACAATTGTTTTATTAGTTACACTGTGCTTGATTAGTTACACTGTGCTTGATTAGTTACACTGTGCTTGATTAGTTACACTGTGCTTGATTAGTTACACTGTGCTTGATTAATAACTTATATCGGAAGATGATATTCACCTGTGTGTTTTCTACATTCCTTCTTTATTGTAACATCAATATTTTCGCTTCTTGAAATTAAAGTCTGAATTTTTAAGCATTAGAAAAAAGCATATCGGTATTGATATATCGTTGGAGGGGGGTGGTTATATGTATAACATATGATTCTGTCCAGTGGACTAATTTAAAGTTCACAATCTAAAGTATTATTCATTCATATTTGTACATTTTGTCCTGTACATTATGTTCTAAAAATATACAAGAAAAAAAATCAGAGATTCAGGTTGACTGAATTGTTTGTTATGATGTGGCTTGCCTGTTGGTTCCGTTGTTATTTACCTTGTTCTCTTTTCAGAACGCGACATTACTTACTTAGACTGAAAAAAATTTACATGAAACAATTCTTTCAGAATGCATGGTCTCATTCCTCTCGTGCAAATTTTTCTTTATGTCATTTCAGAAGATTTTATTGATAAAAATAATCAATAGGATTAGCCAGAAGGCTATAGCCTATATAAGTCTTCTCCCAAGACAGCATGGTGGTCAGACTTAAACATAATACACATGTACCATAAAGATACATACATACATACATACATACATACATACATACATACATACATACATACATACATACATACATACAAACAAACCTTACATAACATACATACAATCATAAATCTAATGTTGACAGACTAATCAATTTTAAATTATGGGAGACAACTCTGTTATTTTTATACTCTAATCTTATGATTATAAAAAGATAATAAACAATGTACGAGCTTTTCAGTTTACTATGTCTTATGATATCAATGATATTAAATGTGCATTACATGTACTTTCCCTCCCATGTAAAAGGGGTTTGGGTCAGAATTTCCATGAAATATAAGTCAGCCCTCTCCCACTTCAGTGAGGGAGCAAGTACACATAAAGCACATTTTTTACATCAAAGGACTATTATTCCAAATTAGAAGGATATTCAGACCAAGATAAAGAACTGTTCAGAGTTGTTTCCTTATTATAAGATGATAACTGAAATATTGGGAATAAATCAGAAAGAACATAAATAATGGGGGGGAAAGGGGAAAAGTAAATAACTATCAACCAGCATTCATCTCAGAATTGATAAAAGTTGAATTAACTATAGCTATGAAAGGGTATCAATTTTTTCCAATTATTTCAATTCATATCAGTAGATATTAAACATTTGACATTAAATCCTTTCTGTATCATCAATATACGTAACTACAGCATCAAACAATGATTTATTGATGTGGGTGCTACAGATTGGACAGCCATGCAAAACATAGTTTAGTTCATAGCGATTATGATTATTGTTGTTTAGGGTTTGTATTAAACTTTGTCTAGGCTTAATATATTTAGGGCAGTCAAAACAGAAATGTTTCAGTTGGGGTATCATATACACAAGACGAGTCATCATAAAGATGGACTTTATGAAGATCCTGATTTATAGAGCTGGGTGAATTTCTTAGCTGACCGAGAATAATATTTAATTTTCTTGGTCCTCCTTCTCTAAAAATAATGCTATTCTTACAAGCTGGAGGATTTGTCCTAACCATAGTTCTTTCAAAGTGCCTTACAGAGTGAATATTACTTATTTTATTAAATTCAGATTTCATTTTTGGAAAGAAACTATCGATATAGCTTACAGGTCGACAAATAGGTTCATTAAAGATTCTGGTATTTTGAAATTGATACCTTGACTCTTCAAAATTGTTAAAAAAGATGTTTGGATAATATCAAATAAGTATTGAGTTGTTTCTTTATTTAGGATTTAGTACATTAAGACCATTTTGTGTTTTTTCTTTCTGTAATCTAAGGACATCCAATCTAGCTCTGAATAAAGTTTTTCATGTGAGGTACCACTGCGTAACCCAGTTATTGACCTTGTAGCCTCAAGATTTATAGATTCTTATAGAGTTTTAGCATAGACTGGACAGTTATCTCAGACAACATCAGCATACTCTAAAACTGACCTAATATGGGATATATATAGTATTGAAAGGGACTTTCTGTCTAAATTCTTTTTAAGAAGTCTCAGAATATTATTTTTTTCATTTGCTTTTTTATACATAAAATCTAAGTGCTTCTTCCATTTGCTATCACTACTGAATATTTAACCAAGATGCGTGTGTTCGGAAGAGGGTGTGACTAAATTGACTGTTGAAATAGATATCTGGATGGTTTGGTGTGGTTTTCCTTGTAAATATTACTGATTCTGTTTTAGATGGATTAAACTGAATATACAATTCTTTCACCCAATCTTTTATGGAATTTAAATAATTTCCAAGAGACTCAGCTACTTCAACTGGATTATCGTTGACAACTTTAAACACAGAGGTATCATCAGCAGACAACTTAATAGAGCTTTTAACAAAGTTAGTGATATCATTTATGTACAGTAAGAAGAGAAAAGGTACTAGAACTGATCCCTGGGGGACTCCTGCATTAACAGATTTAAAGGTTGAGGCAAGGCCTTCAATCACCACACGTTGTTTTCTATTAGATAAATAATTTTGTAGCCACTTTAAAAAATTATCTTTAGTTCCATAAGATTCAAACTTGTACAATAAACCCCCATGCCAGACTCTATCTTATGCCTTGCTTATATCACAAAATACAAATCTCATCTCTTTATTATCATCTAAGCTACTAACTATATTGTGAAATTTGGAAAGCAGTTGGTTAATAGTTGAATCCTTAGGCATACATCTCGACTGATGTTTTGATATAATTTCAGATAAAGAAAAATGGTTGAACAATATTTAAATATAATCTTTTCTAACATCTTACTAAGACAAGTGATCACTGAGATAAGTCTGTAATTGGTTACATAATTTTTTCCCCTTTCCTTTATAGATAGCAGTGACGTTAGTGTTGTCGATAATTGTATATGTATGATAGGGTATTAATGTTAAAGTAATGCGATTAATGTGTACGGAGTAAGGGAGGTAACTCCCACTTATTTTTTGTTTAACGAGCATGGGATTCTGGGTACGTAAACTCAGGATATTTGTACCTGAGGGCTGAGATGTATGGAAATAGCGAACGGGCTGTTGAAACAATTCGTATGTAGAATACTGTATACCACGTTCTTTGTATTGTGACTTGTTAGCCTACTGTACATGCATACTTGTAATAAACATGAAGTGCTTAGCACTCATGCTTAGCTCTCAGCGTGACTTATACCTGGGAATTAGATCTTAGTGGGTACATGATATTGAACGAAAATTGGAAGTCCGCAACATTTTATACAAATATCGTGAATTAATGAAAATCATTATGAGTGTCCACGACGAGGATTTTAAATCGCAAAACGCTAGCATTGAGCCCAGTCAGGCCAGTGATAAGGATACACTTCCCAGTAAAATGAATTATGAGCCGGAGAGTTATAAACAAGAACAGTTATTGAATCCCTATCGTACTCGTGAAGGTATCGCGGGTGCCGTTACTAAGGCGTTGAAGGAACTGCATGAATTAATAGATCAACATGCTGAGCATGAAAACATTAGTCGGTGCCTCGATAATATGTTTGAGATGTACAATAGGCTTGAAGCTGTTCATCAGGAATTCGTAAAATTAGCTCCTGGTATTGAAGATTCTACGCTTGCGCACAGTTCTGGTCACTTTGAAAGGTCACAGATGACACTGCTAAAAATAGATATGACAATTATGTTCAGAAGCAACCGACTGATATTCATGTACATCCTGAAGATAGTGTTTCGCATGTTTCCCGCAGTTCTACCACGTCGTCTACATCAAGTGCATTATCTAAGGCAGCAGCTAGAAAGGCTATGTTAAAAACCAAGGCTATATATTTGAATCAGCAAATCGGTATTGAACAGAGACAGTTTGAAATGGAACAGGAATTAAAGCTTTTGAAACTGAATGCAGAAATTGAGGCTGCAGATGTTGAGGAAAAGGTATTATCACAGTATGTAAATGAAAAACAAAACAACAGTAGAGTTTCTCGTGCTTCATGGCGATAACATTTATACTCCGTTAATGAAAATCAACGAACCGACTGCAAATACTCAGATTCCTGTAATAAAATCTGAATCACATCAGGCAAATTTCTCAGGAATTAAAGGGTCTACATTTAATCCCTACGCTACTGACTGGACAAGGCCACAGAGCGCATATTATTATTCCGGACAACCCACTATGCAAATTAACACAGGGCAACCAAATATGTCAGGCTACACTTCAACTCCAGCTCGTATTTCAAAACCTGTTCAGTCAGAACTCGCAGTGCAAAGACAATCATCAGACATAATTAGTCTTCCCAAAACATGTCTAATGACTTTCGATGGAAATCCCGTGGATTATTGGGTGTTTATGAACGCTTTTGATATTACAGTTGGACAGTCTTCTGTGAGTGATGGTGTGAAATTAAACATATTGTTACAATATTGTAATGGCAAGGCTGCTCAGGTTGTTAAACCTTGCGTAATAATTAATGCTACAGAAGGATAAACGCGTGCCAGAGCGTTATTAAA